TCAATTGAAAATCATGCGCCAATGCGTCAGCGAAGCACTCCGAGCGTCACATGGATCAATGACCGGCACGGAATTTGTGCGTTTGGTTCTGCGACATCATCCATATTATGGCCAGACTACGGTCGCAGCAGCCCTCCTGAGACAGCTGATTCCAGGATTACTACGATGCCTCGCCAAAGCCAATCGCCGAGGGCTACTGAACATTGCGACAACGATCATTAGACACTGGGTCGCCCAGAAAGATCTATCAGAGTTATCGCTGAATGACAATGACTACGTAATGTCAGTGCCGTCTGGCTGTGTCGTTCATGTCGATGTGGACAACATCACGAAATCCGAAAGAACATAAGAGGGTCTACAGTACAATCCTTGAGTCCAGCTTTGGCGTTTTCGAGCACATCGTGCTTGGGTGCTATGTACGAAGCTGTTTCGATTCAGTATCACTCTGCATTGATACATATCATTCGCCATCCTCGTCCACCGTGTACCTAGCCATCGGCTCTATTGTGAAGCGCTGGTGCCTTGGTCCTTTGGGACATGCACCACGGGCACAATGACCGCCACGTTCTCGGTCTCCTGCGTCGGTTTCTCCGCACCGCCCGCTGCAGGAGCCTCCGTCATCTTGAAATCCTCCCACGTTTCAACCACGTCAATCACACCGTCCCGCATTTTTTGGATCGCTTCTCGAAAGTGGCACAAACGGGCTTCCTCGTCCCGGCAGCGACGGTTCAACTGGGTGTTTTCGTCGACGAGGCGGGCGTGGGCGACCTGCAACTGACCGTTTTCCTTCTCGAGGCGCGAGCACTTGGCATGCTGCGCGACGTACGATTCACAGAGGCGCTGGTAGTCAGCCAGCAGTCGCGCGTCTTGCTCTGCAAGGACTGGTTTATGATCATCCAGTCGCTGCTGCAAATCGCGAATCGGGGGACAGAATGACTCGACGGCCGCGTCAATGGAAGTGACCTTCTCATCTTTCGACAGCGCTTCCTTGGCGAGTGGCGGTGCCATGGCCTACGAGGTGTCAGCTCATGCCAGAATCTCGAATACTGTATACTGTATGCGTGGTGCAACAAGAAGGAAAGTACCTTCGACGGCTGCTGAGATGTTTCCACAGCCTTGGACGTCTTGTCTTTGTCACGGTGTGCCGGGCCTGGTCCTGCCCAGTCCTCGCGCTTGCGCTTGATCGGCCGTCCCCGATCAATGAAGTCACTCATATCGTTTGGTGATGGTCTTGCAGTAATGGAAGAGTGGCCGTGGGTGCTTCTGGTTCCTGAACTCGTTGCGGTGGCTCCTTATATACGGCGAGTACTATGGTTCCAGACTTGCTCAAATCCGGCTCACGTTCGAGTAATTGCATCTGGAAAGCTTTTCTGGCCTGACCTTAATCTCGAGGTGCGATTTACTCACTATCCTCTAGAAACCCTCTTTGGGGATTTCAATCGTGAGCCAAGTTTCTGGTTTGCCGTGTTCTGGTGATGGTGGTTTTGCCCACACCCTACAGCACAGCGACGGTCAAGTCAGACGCGGGCAGTTGGCTCCACGGCTGGTGGC